GGTTTACCCTAAGGGTCCATATACCCAAAACAGTATATACTTATGCCGCCAAAGCACCCGTAAAACATATCCTAAACACATATCCTCAACCCTATAAACCCTAAATATGCTATTTGGGTACATGGACCCTCAGGGTTTGGGTTTAGGGTGGCTTGGTGTTCCGGGACTCAGTACGCAGGGGCGGCCCGGTAATCGGGCTAAGACCCCATGCGTCAAGCACCCGAAACCCTGAACCCTAATACCTAAACCCTAATCCCTAATTCGTAACTCCTAGTCCCTAATCCCTAAACCCTAGACTCTAAACCCATTATACTCTCCCAAATACTAACCTACGACACTGTCCTAAGCACAAGTACCTAGTTGTTAGGTCCTTCGGACCTTTCAGCCTTCGACCCCCATAAAACGTTGTAACGGCTCACAAGGAACCCCTTCGTCAGGTCCTTGATGCCCCAAGGGGGACTCAAGGAGGGTGAGTGGCTGAGGTAGAGCAAGCGCTTCTGGGTATCATGAGTCGACAAAAAGCTACAATCGCCTTGGACGCTGGTTCGGGGTTTAAATTAGGATGTTTAGGGTTTTAGGGCTTTGAAACAGGGTTCAGTTGAGGTGCTGAGTAGCGGATTTAGGGTGTTAAGGATGTTTAAGGTTGTTAGGTGCCCTTGGCCAATTTAAGAGATGATGAGATGTCGTGGCCGTTGCACCCTGTTTTGCTGACGGTTTTGGACAACCCTAAACACTGAACCCTAAATCGTATGGTCAACACCAGAACCCTAAACCCTAAACCCTGAAACTGTCCCTAAACCCTAAAACCCTAAAGCCCTAAACCCTAAATAAGCCGTAGCCTTACGGAGCACTTAAAGAGCCCCCTTATCTGAACTCTAAACCCTGCGCCCCGAATGCCCTAAACCCTACTTCAAGGTTCATGTGACGCAGGAACTCGGGTGATACATAAGGTAGTAATACTTATATAATTACTTATAACCCCAATTAAGGTACTTAATACAAGTACCTATTAATTTCCATGAACCTGCAAGTAAGCCAATTCATAACCCAAGACAAGGATTCGAGGAGATGGCAAGCGCCGCAGACCTTGCCGCAGGCCGCAGGAATTGTGCATGAGGCTTGAAGCCTTTAGGGTTGAGGGCTGGTTTTAGGACTGCTTAGGGTTGTGTGTAGAGTATAGGATTCAGGCTTCGGTTTTTTTGTTAAAGGTCTAGGGTCAGGGCTTTAGGGTTTGAGGTTTCATGTTTTGGTCTGGAAAAGGTTTAGGGTTTGGGGCTAAAACGGATGATACGAACTTCAGGCAGCAACCCAACACCCGAGGTCATCCAGTCTCTCATGTTTAGTTTCCGGCTAAAATCTACTTAAAGGTTCATGGGACTTAGAAATTCGGGTTATAAGCAAGGTAACTATACTTATAATTACCTAGAACACCAATTGAGGTACGTATGACTGTACTTATTAAGTCCCATGAACCTCCAAGTAGGTCGCAGTTTGGGAACCTGCGCGTACAACTTGATGTCTTGGGCGATAGATGTACCTGTTCATCAGTACTGCTGAAGCGACCCAACTCTGGTTATGGTTCATGGTTCAAGGAAGGGCTTAGGGATTAGGGTTATGCTTAAGCATTGAAGGGATTGGGATGATCCGTCACGCTTGGCCCTACCCCGAATGATCAGTGATATTCAAGACGTGAAATATGTACTCCCTACCAAGAATCCAGGCCATCCCCATCAAGTGGAGATGACCTGGGCAGTACGGGATAGATGGGCGATCATAGAGGCCAGTTGTGGGGTATACGACAGCAATGCACATGGACTAAGTCGCGTGGTGGAGAAGGAGGGGGTCGGGGATTAGAGGAGTCGATCAGATGCCTACTGCTTGACGGGCCGTGGTCATGGGACTTAGTAAGCAAGATTGCAGGTGTATGTAAGGTTTCTAGAGGGGTGCATGACGGGCTCTTTAGGGTTTTGGGAAGTTTCAGGGTTTAGTGGATTTAATCGTGAATACACTTATCAGTGCAGCAATTATGGTTTGTCTGGCCATAAGTACTATCCTGACGGTATTTATAAGCCTAGTTACTCAGTCCAATGAACCTTTATGCATATGGAACTCTCTTAGCGTACATTGGAGCAATCCTTGCTGCTCTTCGACCCGCGTGCACATGGCTCATGCTTTGAGGACGTTCGCATCATACGCACCGCGAGGGGGTGTCTTGCCAGAACCCAAATGGCAGATTGGCACCACAGGAACTGGACATGTCTGGAGACGGACTGTGTGTGCAAACCTGCCGTCTCCCTCGCCGCGGCGTTGAGCTTGCCCTTCTCTTCCGGGCCTCGGGGCAGCGCGGACTTCATGTCGTTCGCAACGGGAAGGTGGTCAATAATACTCCTTGCGATGCCGAAGCTACTCTTGAAACCATAAATTCTGCCTGCAGGAGTAGACAACGTACGTACAGATCCTGTAATCGGTGCAGTTTGTTCAGTGTTTGTCCTAAGATCTTCAGGACGACTGTGCTGTTTAAACATGTTCTGACCTTGGTTCTAACAACACGGCTTGTCGCAACCTAACACACTCTAAACCGTAAGCTCTATACTACAACCCCTGGTAAAATCCCGGCAGACACAGGTTTGCCGTAAGGCTCCATGTACCTCTATAGTATAGACATGGCCTTAAAGTAGAAATATGAGAACCCCTTTATGGCCTAAGTATATACTACATGGGTACATGGATCCTTCATGTCTAAACCATTTTAAAACTACCTGAACCTGCAATCCTCCCAAACCTTAGACTACCCAACCGGGTTTAGGCTTTAGGGTTTAGGGTTTAGGGTTCCAGGTGCTCCGCTAGCGCAGCGGGCACCCGCGGCTGCCGCAGATCCTGCAGCACTCTTTCAGGCAGCAGCCCTCAGAAAAGGTTGAAAAGAAAAGGTCTCGTGTGGGGGTTACTGAACTGTCTCGAAGCTTATTGATGTAGGGTCAAGGCAGAGTATTAGCAGGGGTCGAAAAGAAAGAGAAACCTCCCAAACCACATGCAATACATACTTTGGGTTGGCAGGCCAGGACAGAAACTTTGTTTGGACTAGACGATCAGCAGACTCGTGATGCAGGCTTATGGCTTAAGGGTCTTGGGTGCGTTGCCCATAATCCGAGCTATAGGCTAACTTGCTGAGTCATCCGGCCTCTTCTGGTAAGATACGAGTTCTGAGAGGTATACTGCTTAGCTTCACAAAGGCACCCAAGGCTCTTCACAAATCAAGGGACTAAAGGCGGGACCCTTAAAGGGACCCCTGGGTTATATAGGGGCTTTATGGGACTATATAAGGGGTATATAATGTTTATATATGGTTTTTGTATTAGGGTCCCTTCTAGGAGTCCCGCCTATTGTCCCT